GAGGCAAAGCCTTTAGCGGTCTGTGGCCGTTTGCAGGTAAGAAGGATGGCAAGGACGATGGTGAGAAGGGGCCATCGGAAGAGACGGCGACGGGAGACGACGAGAAGCCGATCCAGGCGGCCGTCGAGGCTGCTCGGCGGACGAGTATCGAAGATCCGGATGACGATGAAGAGGTTGTGGTGCAGAAGCCGACAAGCCTCTGAGACGAATAGACGCGCCCATGGCTTAATGCGATGCGTAGACGGTCAGGAGTCACCGTTTTGTACAATTACGTGTTTGGTTTACGCTGCATCTGTAAAGTATGATTGAATGGAGAACATGCACGAATATTTTGTCTAGCTGTGAGGTCGTCTTTTCTCTTCCTCTAGTCTCCAGTTGCCACCGCTTCACGTTTTCTATCATTATTGGAAAATCAGCAATGATCACGAGAGGCTGTAAGCCATTATGTGAGCATTCCAGCTCAGGCATATGTTTGGCTTGTTGTGTTCGCGGTCCCAAGTCCGGCCATCCCACCGGAGCTCCGGCCGCATTTCGGGGCGCCATGCCGAGATCACTTTTTGTTCAATGACTGAATGAGACCTGTGAAAGGCAAAAATTGTCCGCTTCTGGACGAGACGAGAGTCACCGCCTACCTTTACAATGAGTCAGACCAGCCATCTGAGCTGACTGATTCGGCTGCCTGACAGATGGGACGGGGCCAGGGACTTTCATGCTCTCTGAGGAGCTTGGGGCCAATACCCCAACTACCTTTCCTTACCTTACCTTTCCTTGTCTTGTACCGGAGGCGATAACGATAAGAGGTGATAATATTAAGGTGTTATTGTTGGAGGGAGGGGAACCTCGACCCCCGTCGATGTCTCGACCAGCAACACCAGCCAAAACTAGAAACACGCACTGGAGTCAAGCACAGGCAACATGCATCCCGTCCGACAATGCGCAGGGCCATGTGCCTGAGCCCTGAGCCCCTCCAAAACCTAGCTGTTTGACGTGCCGGGCAAGCTTAGCATGAACGTGTGGCCAACGTTCCCTGCACCCCTGGACCCTCTCACTCCAGCCCCTCTCGTTGTTTCTTGGTGGGAGAAGGAATGGGTGGTGCTTTCTGAGGACTGCGGTGCATGACGTTGAGTTGGAGGGAGCTGGTGTTGAGGAAGGTAGATGAATTCGTGAAGAATCCTCGAGCTGGCTGACTACGGTGCTGAATTATACCATTGGACCTGTCGGGCTCTGCATCTTCTCATTCGTGCCGATTCATCTACGCCACCATCTGTCGTCATGTAAGTCCAGCCGTGTGTGTTTCTCTTGACTTCACCGTCATCGCCGCCTGTGCTCCTCTTCCTTCCTGTGGCCATCGTATGTCCGGGTCCTCGGCGTCTTTGCGATTCCCGGACGCAAGCAAGCTCATACATCAGGCTACACCATTCTGCCTCGTGAAACCGAGAGTCCGGCACGCCGAGTAGGCCTCCTTCTCCTTCTCTCTCTCTCTGCCTCCAAGTCACGTCAAAACGCACGATGACGCCTCTCTGTGGCTCCTGTCGCTCTCTGCCGCTGACTCCCTCTGCCGATTACCGTCTCGTCCCAGCCTGAAGTCGTTCGTCTGTTTGTGAGAGAAGACACGTCGCGGCTAATGCGCTCCGGTGTTCTGGCAGATTCTTTTCTTTTTGGTTGTCTCGGGACCATCGACCTCTCCGACTCCGTACCTGGGCCATCGTCGTCACCGGCGAAAAAGACTGCCAGGCTGTTCCGTTCTGCGAGTTTGAGCGGGCATTGGCGGTGATCATATAACGCCGACATCACCCTTTGTCGCAAGAGTGTGAAAGACTTTCTTCCGAGACATGGCAGATATGGGTGTCGCAGGGAACGCAGAGTCCGGTAAGCCGGTTTACCAGCAGGCGCCTTCGATGCTCAACCGCATCGTGTACGGCACCAAGATTTCGACACTGCAGCATTGGTACTTTCAAAAAGCTGGCCTCGAGGCGTGGAAGTCGTACTTTTGGCCACCCGCCATACGGCCCGACCTCATCAAGCAGTATGACTGTAGGAAGGCATTGCCAGTTCGGTATGGTGTTTTCCCCTTTTGTGAAAACGAAAACACTGCTAACCAATACGCAGCATCTTCTTTCCCTCCGACTACGACCAAACCTCCCCGCAAACCCTCCCGACCCTCTTCACAATCCACGGAGGCGGCTTCTCCATCGGCGTCCCCGACGACGACGACGAATGGAACCGCACCTTCGCCGACCTCAACAACTGCCTCGTCGTCGCCCTGCACTACTGGAAAGCCCCTTGGGCCCCCTGGCCGCACGCCCTCCACGACTTGGAGGCCCTCTACCTCGCCATCGTCGACGACGAGTCCCTCCCCATTGACAAGTCGCGCATCGCCATGGGCGGCTTCAGCGCGGGAGGGAACCTTACGCTGTGTCTCTCGCAGATGAAGAGCATCAAAGAGCACAGGACGGCTGCGCCGAAGGCGATTGTGCCAATTTACCCGCCTACGGATTTCGTCACGCCGACGGCGTCCAAGAGGGATCGCAGGCCGTACAAGGTTGGGAAGTTACCCGGCATCCGCGGCCAGAAGAAGGACTTTGTGCTGGATTTCGCAGAGGTGTTTGACTGGAGCTACATCCCCTACGGCACGAACCTCCGCGACACGCGCATCTCGCCTCTGTACGCCGAGAGGAGCGATTTCCCGGATAACGTGTGCGTCGTGGCCGCGGAGCTGGATTACCTCGCCTACGAGGCGTGGGAGCTGGCGTGCAAGCTCGGCGGGAAGGGAAAGCCTGGTTCGGGGGTGGTCGGGCGGAGCGAGGTGGCCAGGACGCAGGAGCTGGTGGAGGAGGGGGACGAGAGGTTCGGGTGGGAGGTGAGGGACGGGAGGGGCAGTGTGAAGTGGCTGCTTGTGCCGGATGTGATTCACGCGTTTGATTTTCACGAGATGGGGGCCGCGGTATCGGATCCGGTGAGTGTGAGGGATGGGAATGCGAAGGCGGTGAAGGTCATGAGGGTTGTTGGGGACTGGTTGAGGAGGACTGCTTGGAAGGTGTGATTTGGACGGGGGAGAGCTGGCGTGGGAGATGTTGGATGGGGTGTATGTGAGGTCTTGTTGGCTTGGCTTGCTTGATGATGGACTACGGTTGGCGTTGGGGGCGAGTTATGACAGAGACGCATGACTTACAAGATAGAACTGATTACGAGCGACAAGAAATACCTCACACGATTGAAGTTGGTTAGACGAACGGGATGCTTAAGGGCCAAAGTGAACATGGTCGTATCATGGCAAGTGTGACTGTTGGTTGCTGAGGAAGACCTCCAACTACTGCCTTCACCAACATCACCAACACATAGCCAGACCTTCGGCTTCTTTAGCCGCGCGGAAGAAGCGGTTAGACTTGACGTTGTGGCCTTCGTCAAGGATGTGTCTCTATCAACCGCTGTGATGCGGCCGCGGTGCTCTTAGGTTACCTAGTAAGTTATGGATACAACTCTGCAGCATACATATCGAGAATCACCACCGCTGGGTTACCAACCGCTTGAACATCCTTTATACTACCCAGTGCCCCAAGAATTTGACTGATTGGGAACTAGGCCCACAAGTTACACCGGTTGAGTTGGTTGAGTTGGACATCACGATTCCAATGTGGATGGTTGATTGCAACTTGCGAGAGACCTGCTGAGAAGTGATGAGTTGGGTAGTATTAAAACGTCATAGAGACACTATTTTTGTATGTTCAATGGTAGTTATAATGTTATCTATGAGAGTTATCTGTGTCGTTTTCGAAATCCATCGCCCTGCCGTGTCATCGACGCAAGCCATCTACAGCAAGTCCATGGTTGAAATGCTGCCGAGCATGACGGGCTACGAGGATCTTTCATGGGTATTAGTGATGATTTGCCGACCGAGATTGCCACTTAGGCGCCAGAATAAAGGCAGTATGGGGTGGTTTCTACGAAATTTCGGCGGGAAGGGTTGGCTTCTAAATGGATTCATTCATAATAGATGTGTGACTGTCCATGGGACGCTCGAGCATGACAGACGTACTAGAAGCAAATTGCCTTCTGATCATGGAAAGATGCCGAATATACTTGAGGAAACTAATTTTCAGTCTCGTAAATCTCTGGGGGGGCTTAGATAGTAGAAACTGGCCATTGTTGCGTAGGCACATGATTAATCAACATGTCTGCTTTTGGCTTCGATGTTCTCATCACCAAACATCTGGATGTGTACCTCTTTGCAGCAAGTTCTTCAGCCACAGGTTTGATCTTGATAGAGAATACAGCAGAACCCGGGTTGGCCACAAAGAAGGTTGCATATACTGCGTGAGGAGCAGCAGAGGGGCATTGCAGGTCCCGCAAACTTGTTTGTCAATTCATCGATATTGCATCATTTGACAATGCTCCCAGCCAAGATGAACCGGGATTGTGGGACATGACGCTCAATAGCTTTACAAAACGGAGGTCATGAATAAGGCTCAAGGAAAGGAGATGTGCAGCACCTGTGGTTTTGTCGGCAGGACGACAATCTAAAACTTCGCCAGTTGGGATGTATTCATAGTCGAGATAATCCGCGCCCTGAGACACCATCTCTTAACTCCATTATTTCGTAGCCGATGTGGTTTCCACCCGGGCTGGAGCGTTTTCGGGCAAGCTTGTGCTTCAGATGAGAGTGTATGCATTCCCGCAACAGACAGGAATGAGAGGTTTCACCCCGTTGATATTAGCAACCCAAATGAAGTACCATGTTGTCCAAGAGACAACATTGCCCCCTGTCGAATGCAGACGGCAAACATGACCGATTTTCATCGTGGCTTCCTGCAATCGTAAGTGTGACTGCCTCAATACTCTCGATATCACCGTTGCTGGTACCCAGCGATGAACCCGTGGTCGATGACAAGAACTCGCGATTGCAAAGACAACTCCACCTGACGATCTGATTGCTCAACCAGGCGCGTCCCCGTCACCGTACATGTACGTAGGGTGACACTATACACACCCTATCAAATTCAATGCTACTGCTGCGCCGTCTGACTGCGTCGATTTTCGGTGTCCATCCCGTCAGCCCTGCACTGGGATACAATTGTCCCCTCCCGCGAGTGGGCAGCTTACCTGACCCTCTCTCGGGCGGTTCGATCGTGCCGTACGAAACCCCCAACGCGGCGGGCGCACTGCACACACACACGCACTCGATAACCGCCCTTTACCGCGGAAGCCTGGCGAGATACCACTTGGTTCAAATTGCTTTTACGCGCTTCCGCGGGGGCGGCCGTGAGATTGCCGCTTGGCGTGGGAAACTCATTCGGGAAAAGCGGCTTGTTCGTAGTTACGTGGGGGCTAGACAGTAGTACGTGCTGAGTCGGTGTCGCGTGTACATGTGAGCCTAGCTGGATGAAATACGACACAGTTCAAGCGTGCAGTGTGGACGAACGTCAAATGTGCCTTTGTGAGGCTTGTTCAGAGGGAGGACTTGTGTACGGGTTGTACACATGGCGACCGCCGGACTTCCGTGTGGGAGCGGGGCGGAGGTGAAGGGGCAGGAGGACGGATGCGCTCGGAGGTGCGGGAGCCGGAAGGCACTGAGAGATCGACAGTGGAAGGATTTGGGTATGCTCTCGCTGACGGGTTGGTCAAGTCGCACATGGAAGTGGATGTATGATAGTCTGGGGTGTTCCCTGAGATCTCATTCGTATGTCATGAATCTTATTATCCTATGAGGATGAAGCAGGCATTTGGCATCATTGCAACGAGGGTGAACACGACTTACACGGCCGTGTACAAGCTCATGACCGAGGACGCGGGACTAAGGACTGAACAGGACCTCGGCTGACTCGCTTGTACAAGCAATCAGTTCAGCTCAAGACGATTTGAACGACAGAGTCACCGATCGGTTCGACGAGTCCGTCGGATTGGAGAGGCGACCTCCCATGTAGCTTGGCAGTTGCCCATCATGTGGCGAGCTTGTGTCAAGGATAAGTTTTTTGAGCAAAGTTGATGCTGTTCTTCTTCTTTGGAGCATGTGCTGCTTATCATAAGGTTGGCCGACGATGGCCGAGACCAATCCTGGAAGCTCCTTTCGAGTGAGAGTTCTGATTACAGTCTCAGGGGTTTCCCCTTTCTCTTCGCGATCAGCCTGTTTTGGGGGCGCTTCATGATATTTACTATTAGTCACCTGGGTTGGTAGGTGCCTCGTCTCTGCGCAAGATGGGAGGAACAATGCAGATGGATCTATGTAGCCCCTGCCGCCGTCGGGAGATGGAGCAGAGGGCGAAAGCCCGAGAGTCGATGTCGGACGGGAGTGTCAAGCTAGAAGGGGGAATTGGGCCCGTGTGGTGGTGGAGGACGCTCGCTGGGTTAGAGCTGGTGGGTAAGCTTGGAAGCTCTGCTCAACTGGCTGTCTTTTTCTGTTTTAATCCTTCTTCTTTTGCCTCGGTCTCAGGCCTACCTGTGTATGAAACTTTTTGGTCAGATGGGTCAGATGAGCTTGCACGCGTGTTTCGTTGGAGATTATTTTCGTCGACTTTTGCTGCCACCGCTACGAAAGTTCTTGCTGCTCTGTTTCTGTTGGAGTCGTGGTGAACTGAGTGTTGAGGGTTTGTGAGGCGGTATAGGGTGCTTTGTTCTCGCGGGGCCATTTGTACACGGTACCTGACATTCTGTTGCTCTCGTTTGATAGAGCTCAGAGCAACGGTAACATCGTGCCTTTGGGGTTTGGTGTTGGTGTTGGTGGTTGACGTTGACAGCAGTCCTCAAGCGGCTGAAGGGTTGCTGCCGCGTACGCCACATACGTCTCAATGGCATAAAGGTGGCAGTGACAAGAAAGAAAACCGGGGTAAGTGGGAGGCGTTGAAACATGGAAATTGAACAGCATCGCAGGAAGTGGATGCGGATTATGAAGGTGAGGATGGAGAGGCCTCATTGACATTGCCATTAAGCAACAGGGTTGGACCTGAATTGAGGGAGTTCTGGCCACTGATGCTGACTGCGCAAAGACGTGCCGAATACACGAGATTCCGTCCGATCATGAGCGGAAGCGGTTATCTGAGGGACACACAGAGGCTGAGAGAGAGAGAGAGAGAGAGAGAGAGAGAGAGTGAGAGATAAAAGGTAAAATGGAGGAATTGATTACGAGAGTCAACTGTTCCTGGTTCCCAAAGTTTGCCATCCTGCGAATTATGCCGGGCCTTTCGGGGCCGGGGCCGAGAACGCGAGTGAGGGGAGGGGGGAGGGTCACATTTAGTAATACCCTTAAAAAGTTGACAGTCTGACTGCGTGGAAACGGCGACCTTCACTTCAGCCTTCTAGCATGTGTAAGACGGAGGGGGACGCGAGGTTTGAGTTTCAACGGACGGGTGAGCTGAGTAGAAGGTAAGAAAGTGAGTTGGGGATTTGAGTTTCGGACAGGTGAGAATGGAAGCAGGTGAATGCTGGTGGAGATGTTGTGAAGAAAGGTTACCTTTTCAGGACACCGGAGATGAGAGAGAAAGAGACAGTGAAGCAAGTGTCGTGTCAAGCTTTCTTTGGTGATGCTTCTGTCCAGCGATTTCAGCCCCCGTTCGGCGAGGGGGGAGACGGCGATAGACCGGCGTTCTTCACCGGAGATGACACAGCTGGAGGCCGCGTCTTCCAGCATGATGCCGGTCTACCGTTCTTGCATGTAGACGGGAAACAAGCAAAGACCAATTAGTGGGCTGGGCCGTTTCTATTCCTGAAGAGGAGGAGAGAGCCTGCGAGCTGCGTAGTGCATAGTGCACTGCACCACCAAAGTCACCTTGAACAGACGCCATAAGCTGGGGAGGGGGGGACTCAGCCCCCTTGGCTAACGCAAGGCACCACGAGCATAGCCGCAGCGCACCCAAGTTCCGTCAATGTGAGAGCGTCCCGGCGCTTGTTGGATTTAGCAGGCTGCAGGCTGCAGGCTGCATAGTGGTGGATGGGTTGATGGATGTTCTGTTCATGTCCAATGGCACCTTGCAACTCGCGAATCTCGCTGATTTCCCATTTGTGGCTAGTGCAGCTTGTGCTGTGTGGCTGAAGGAGCACTGACCATTTTGAGATACTTTCCTAAGTTTTTGATTGGCGCAAGTTAGCCTGAGCCCGTGGCTAAGCAAGGAGTACGTACTCAGCTCAACGATACGTGCAGTTTCAAAAGATACGTACCCACGTTGTTTCGTTTCTTCCTCCTCCTCCTCCTCCTCCTCCTCCTCCTCCTCCTGGTTGTCTTCATCTCCGTTCCTCATCTACGACAAGATCGCCAGTGTCTGGACGGATAGAGTCGCCAGACAACGCAAACGCAAGCCGAGCTTCAACGTCCGCACCATCGCGGCAAGCTACAAACTACTCCACTGTTACCAAGCAATCGTTGCCAGAGATGTCTGTCGACTGTTTGGGACCACACCGTGCACCACTGGCACCAGCACACCTCCTCTCGTCTCGCTCGGCTCAGCCCAGATCCAAAATGGGCATGCCCCAACCCTGCTGATTAGACTCTCCATGCCGCGTTTCCCACCATCTGTTTGATTGCAGACAACGGCTGCGTTCCTCCCCGTGTGGCTCGGAGACGGGAACACACTCTCTCTCTGAGGCTGCATAGCCATTTACACAGCAACGCAACGCAACGCAACGCTTTTCGAGGACAATGACCAAACAAGATACTGACGAGGCGGAGCAAGCGTCTTTCGTCCTATCCTCAACCTTTCTGTCCAGTACATAGTACATACATGGTCACTGCCGAATCACTCCACTCCCGAGTAGCATCTTTGCACATCACCAACATCTATCTACTGCGTACAAAGTATCCGTACCTACTTGTGAGGCCCAGGACTAAAGAATAGGTATGGGTCTCTCTTCGCGGATGCCTGGTCACCCCCGGCCCCTACGTTGCGTTCCACCTCCAGCAAGACGCGGGTATGCAGATCCAGCCCGCGGCAGGCCGTGACAAGGCATGCCATGGCGTGGCGCGGCATACCTGACCTCAGCACCTTTTTCGTACGCACCCAACTGACTGGACGTGGTCGCACTCGCACACACCATTCACAGCTCGCTTTCCTCTCTCATCCATCCTGTCTTTCGTCCCGTTAGTCGCTCAGTCACTCACCCAGTCTGCGTGTCTACCCACCACCGCCTCTCGCTCCCCCACCTTTCTTTGGCTCTCCAAGCTGGACCCCAGCACGTCAGAATGGGCCGGGGCCAGGGAAGCTCGACCTACCGTCTACGATGTACATGACGGTAATAGCCTGGCAGTGACCCAGGAACCGGCATCTCACTCACGTCTTGCCCTGCCTCGCCCGTACGGTACTCGGTACTTTCGTTGCCGACTTTTGGTCTGTTTGCAAACCAAAGCTCCCCCCGGCTCGCTGGTCTTACTGTCTCTCTCTCTTCCTGTAGTGAGCAGGAAGGATCTGAAGGATGAATAGAGCTGCCAGAATGCTGTCTCTTTTGCATTATTTCACCCTCCATATCTCCCACCTCCCCGCCTCTTCTTCTTCTTTTGTGATCTCTTCTTGCTCCGGCCCTTGGATCATCTTTCCTCTCGGCCTTTGTGTGTAACATTCCTTCGCCCGTTGGCCCTTTCATCACCTTGCATCTTCAAAGACGGGCTCCAACAAACACGCCCCCAGAATCGGCGCCCCCCAACCTCGAGACTGCAAGCTCATCTCGTCCGACCAACGACATCACCTTTGAGCATCTTTGACCCTCGTCAGAGACCAACCTTTGATCCGTGTTACTTGGTCACCTCTGCTCGGTCGTCTCCTTTATTTGTGTTCATGCATCTTTGAGATACCCCTCCCAAGCTATCCACCCAGCTCTACCCTTCTTCTTCTTCAGACCAGACCGAGCGAGCGAGCACTTACATACACACACGTCCAATATGGCAGACTCAGTCAGCCCAAAACAACTCCCCAAAATCGACACAACAATGTCGTCATTCCACACAGAGTCTGTTGAAGATAGACTTCTCTCAGCAACTGCCACCGTGCTAAATTTGCCGAGGAATAGCATAGAATTGTTCGACTCCTTCTCAGACTTGGGCGGCGACAGGCCCACAGCTGTCGCCCTCAGGAAAAGGTGCATGAGCCTCGGACTTGGTCTGAGGACGAGCGACATTCTACGCTGTCAAACCTTGGCGGAGCTTCAGACCTGCATCACCCCCTTGGTTCAGACCGCGCCTGTGTCCAAGGACAAGGACTCCGAAGGAGAGAGCAGCACCTCTCCCTCCGATGTCTTCAGCTCAAGTCCCAGACGAAACAGCGCCTGCTCAACTTCCTCGTGCGATTCCAGCAACAGCTCCGATGCGGCACCAATAAAATCACCACATTCCGAAATCGAACAATTCATCCAGTCTACGCCCCAGATTAGGAGTGCAGCCGTCATCAGGCCAAAGGCTGGTTTCCTAGAGGGTAAGCTCGTGGCCTTCTTGACGTTGGCGTCGGGCCGGATATCGCAAACCAGCCTGTCCAGCATCCGACTCATTCCCCAATCACAGATGCACTTCGCCGGAAGCCAGGTCGCAGCTGTCCGACTGGCTCTCGAAACCTCGGAAGGTTCTCATTCTGTGCCAAACTCATGGATCGTGCTTGACCAGATGCCTTCAAACGGAGAGGGCTCCGTCGACCGGAGACGGCTCCAAACATGGATTCAGAACATCAACGAGGACATGTATCACCAAATATCCAGTCTCGAGTCTCACGAGCTCTTCCAGGAGCCCTTGACCGAGATGGAACGAGTTATGCAAAAGAAGGTCGCCGATGTTCTCCGCATACCACAACGGCAAGTCGGCATGAACTTCTCATTCGGTCAACTCGGCGGCGATGACATTTCCGCCATGATGCTCGTTGCGGCATGTCGGACCGAGTCCATCACGGTGAGACCCGAGGACGTTCACCAATGCCCTACTTTGGGGCAACTAGCATCACTCGCATACAGAAAAAACCACCGCACCGACACATGGAACGAGGAATCCACGGAAGGCTTCAAGCTGTCGCCAATACAACAGCTTTATTTCGATACCGGCATTGGCGGTCGCATCGAGCAACGAATGGGATCAGACGGGGGCTACCGGTTCAACCAAAGCATATTGCTTCGCGTCAAGAACAACTCGACGTTGGAAGATATTCACGCCGCCATTGCTACCGTGGTTGGCCATCACTCTATGCTACGCGCTCGTTTCCGGCCTGGCGTAGATGGCTGGACACAACGGATCATTCCAAAAGTCGACGGGTCTTATGGGTTCCGCTATCACTCGGTGAGCACGACGGAGGAGGTCATGGGCATTATCGCACAGTCACAGTCGAGCATCAACATCGAGACCGGGCCGGTCTTCTCAGTCGACCACTTCCGCACTCATGACGGCCAGCAGCTTGTTTACTTGCTCGCTCATCATCTGGTCGTAGACATGATGTCGTGGCGCATCATCATTCATGATCTTGATGAGCTACTACGAGAGGGCACACTGTTCTCTGAGCGTTCCATGCCGTTTCAACGGTGGAATGAGCTTCAAGAAGAATACATCAGCAGCAACCCGGATCAGCTAGTGATGCCTTACGACTTGCCCAGCGGCCAGTACGGATACTGGGGTCTCGAGGACTCACACAACACCTACGCCGAAATCTCAGTCGCCAGCTTCACTCTCACCCCAGAACTTACAGCAATTCTTCACACAGCATGCAACCAGGTCTTCAAGACTGACATGTCAGATATCTACATGGCGGCACTCCTCCTTTCATTCAGCCAGACATTTCACGATCGTAGAGCACCCGTGGTGTGGAATCAAGAGCACGGCAGAGAACCTTGGAGTCAAGACATTGACATCACAGAGACCGTCGGTTGGTTCACGTCACTGTGCCCTGTGTCTATGCCAGTTGACATGGCCGATGACTTCCTTCACATCTTGCGCAAGATGAAAGATACGAGACGATCAATACCTCGTCGTGGGTGGAACTACTTTGCATCTCGGTATTTTGGCCCCGAGGCCGCGACTCGAAGCACCGAAGGTTGGCCTTTCGAAATCATGTTCACGTATGCAGGGTCGGTTCAACAACTCGAGCGGGAGAAGGGCGTTCTTGAGCAACTCACCATTCCTGGAAGGCTGTGGTCAACAGATGCCGCCGACATTGGCTCGAGCGTGTCTAGGATTGCTCTATTCGAGGTCTCCGCCATGGTCGACCAAGGCTCGGCTTCCGTTCAGATCGTCTATAACAAGAACTCCAACCACCAGGATAAGATTGCTGACTGGATTCAAATGTATGAGCACCTGCTATACGAAGCCATCGGCAGGTTGCGATACCGTGGCCAAGAACTCACTCTGTCTGATGTCCCAATGCTCGACACGACGTACGAGGGCCTGGCGAAACTCAATACCGACCGATTGGTTGCACTCGGCTTATCTAGTGCTCGGGATATCGAGGACGTCTTACCCGTCACAGCGCTGCAGCAGGAGATCCTCATCAGTCAAACCCAAGATTTGGAGACCTGCCACAACAACGCCATCTACGAGTTATCATCGCCGAACGGAGTCTTGGCCGACCAAGCTCAAATTTGCACCATTTGGCAGCAGATCGTAGCCAAGTACCCTGCTCTGAGGACTGTCTTCATAGACAGCATTTCCGAGAATGGTTTATTCGACCAAGTCATCCTGCGGAAGTGCTCACCAGATATGCTTTTTGTCGACGCAGAAGCAGGAACAGACCCTGTGGCTGTTCTCAATGCCTTGCCACCGATGAGTCCGACGCCGTCTAACCCGCGCCACCGAGTGTCAGTGTGCAAGTCGCACGCGAGCACTTTTCTGAGGCTTGACATTAGCCACGCCCTATGTGATGTGAGTTGTGAACCCGCTTGATTGAAACATCCGCTGACACTTCCCTAGGCCTTGAGTCTTCAAAATATCGTTTGGGATTTGAAGAGAATGTACAACTCAAGCAAGCTGTCCATGAAGATGCTTGACCCATCGCATGCTGCTTGCGTTCAATATATCTCATCTGCTCGGCAAGAAAACAGCCTCAACTTCTGGATCGGCCGCCTTCAAGAGACGCGGCCATGCTTGTTCCCACGCCTGATGACAGTAAACAACAACACCATGCAACACACAAACTTTCATATTGAATTGCCGGTGACTCAGATCGACGAATTTTGTCGATCACAAGGCATCAGCCGATCGACTGTGATGCGCATGGCCTGGGGGCTTGTTCTACGCGCCTTCACCGGTTCTAGCCAAGTCTGCTTTGGCTACCGCTCATCAGGCCGAGATACAGGAAACGCCCCCGAGGGCTTGATTCTTTCGGTCGGCGCGTTCGAAAACACCACAGCCTGTACAGTCGGGCTCGAAAATCACAAGTCCGTCGCAACAGTCCTCAAATCCGTCGAAGATGATTCTGCTGCTTGCAGCCGGCATCAGAACGTACCAATGTCGGAAATTCAGCATGTGTTGGGTCTCAAGGGCGACAAGCTCTTCAACACGTGTCTGTCATACCAAGAAGAGCCTCACGAGCTAAAGAGCCGGTTTAGCTCTACGCGTCCCCCCATGAGGCTCTCCTGCATTCAGGCTTTCAACACCCCCGACTTCGACGTCACATTTTCTCTGACTCTCGTGAACGGCCAGCTTGTCACAGGAGTCTCTCACAGGCTCATGACTCCTTCCCAAGCTCAGAACCTTACGAATACTTTTGGGCGTGCTGTTGTCGCCATACTCGGAAGCCCGGAAGGCGCGCTCAGCAGTATCGACCTTTTCACCGACAGAGACTATGCCCAGTTACTGATCCGGGACTGGGGAGCCGAGAATACGACCGAGCCTTTGCCTGGCTGTGTCCACGCCCTGATTTCTCAACAAGCACGACTTCGACCAGATGCTCAGGCGATCTGCGCCTGGGATGGCGAGCTCTCGTATAGACAGGTCGGCCGCCTTGTTTCCCGCCTAGCCACGTATCTTACTCAATGGGGTGTTCGCCCCGGCGTTTCTGTTCCCGTCATTCTCGACAAGAACAAGTGGGCGGTCATCAGCATCCTGGCCGTGTTGAAGGCTGGTGGCTGCTTTGTCCCCATTGACGCCGAGGATCGAGCCAATGTTGAGACGTTCGTCCGCCAGC